ATGCAGTGTCCAGTGAGCAGGGTCCCAACACACGCTAGCTCTGTTGCTAGAAATACCTGAGTGGCTCCTGACCAGGAAACATGCACCCACTCTTAACTGTTCGTCCTGCAGAGACCTTCCTCAGCGCCCCTCAGGAATATCCACACAGGTGTGACCACAGCCTCCAAGGGGTCCGACTTACCTAGTGCTTCTCAACAGAACCATCCTGTCCCCAGACCTGGGATAGACATCACAACACTTCCTCGCTGCGACACTTTCCCACGTGGATCAGTGAGAATCAGAAGGGCTGTCAGAGCCCATGGAGAGATGGGGAGGGCAGAGAGACAAGCTGTAGCTTGTGACGTCAGAGAAGTGGGGGTGACTGGCCTTCTGAAGATGCCCAGTCTTCCTGTAACTGAATCAAGACACAGAGCAGGTGGAGTGCTAACAGCACTGATTGGGCCACCAGGATCACCTCACCTGGCTGTGGCACTAGCTCCTCATAGATTTCCCTGATTCCTTTCCCACCACAGTGTGTCCAACACAGGGGCTTGCAGAGCTGTCAAAACACAAGTCAGATCACGTCTTTCTACTACCTAAACGACTCAACTACAGCAAACAGCCCTTTAAACCAGGGCAGTCTAGTCCCTCTACCTCACTTATTCCTTCCTAATCTTTGCTCCACAATTACCCCATTCAAAAAGCATCTCTGCTCACACTGCTAGGACCCTTAATTCTCTTATCCTGCTCCCTCAGCCCAAAGACGTCTCACTGTTAATACACACTGCTACCTATCTGCTCTCCAGACTGGGGGGATGCTCTGGGATGTAGCACACGCCAGTGAAGGGTTGGCGGGATAAGGAGTGGGCTGTTTCTCTGGCCTCTTCCATAGGGCCCCACTATGCTCAGTAGGCACACCTCTTCCACATTGCCCTCACCCCCGCCTGCTCTTTGGTCCTGCAATTCTTTCAGATTTAGCTTTCAAGATGTAATTCTGTCAGCATCCAGTAAACATTGGTGGAAGTGACAGATGGGAAGGAAAAAGCCACAGATCCAAGAAAAGAGGACCCAAGGATTCGGACAGGCCCTAGGGATCGGGCCGCTGCTGCCTATTAATAGAGTCTGACCTCTCAGGAGCCTGGGGTCAGAGAATACTGCACAAACTACCAGAATGTTCCAGGATGGAGTAGGGCCTGGCCAGCAAGGACGGGGCTAAAGGCAGGGCTAGGACAGTAAGCACACTGCCCCCAGCGACAGGCTTGATTCTGGCTCTTATGCCATCACAGTCCATAGCAGGAGCCAGGGCTTTGTCTGGGGAAAAGCACAGGACCCAGACCTTGGCTACTTTCTAGCAAGCAAGGTCCAGTGGACTAATCCTGCCCAGAGGAGGGAGACACGAGATCTGAGATGGCTGTGGTCAACAGGAAATGGAGACTATTAAGGACTAGAAGGACTCCAGGATTCCCTGGCAGCTCAGGTGAGCACTGCCATCATGTTTTGTTCTGAATCTGCAGGTGTGATTGATTTAGTGTTGGTTTGGACTTCGGCTGTTTCCAGTCATGCAGCAGGGGATGTACCTCAGGCAAGCCAACGTCTGATTAGCTAGAGACCAGCATGTCACAGTGCCCTGGGAATATTAATATTCACAAGGATGCCATCGGGGATGTAATTACTGATGGTAAGAGGCATCAATGGCAGGGGACTCTTCCCCTGCGCAAGTGGTGAGACATTAGATCGAGAGGAGCAGAGAAAGGGCTTGTCATGAGGCTCGCAGGAGGGGTTGGCAAGTTACTGCTGCTGCTGATTCTGTTGATAGGATAACCCAGCCTTGCAAATCAGAGCCAGACCCCGGGAGGCCTACGTCTGAGACCTGAAAACCAGGCAGGTCTTGCCAACAGCTTCACTTCTGGATGTGTTGAAACTGGAAAAGAGCTCTGAGCCCAGCCATGGTGACGCTACTCCATCAGCTTCTCTTCCCTAAAGACCGCAAGCACTAAATAATAATTAACTTGTTTTCAGATTCTTTATTCAAACAGGATGGATGAGTTTGATCCCTGGGACCAACATGGTGGTTAAGAGAAAGCTGACTCCTCAAGGTCCTCTGACCTCCAGACAAATGTAAACACACACATGCAAAGAAAGAGAAAGAATGACAGACAGTCAGAGACAAACACAGAGAATTGCCAATTGGGACATGCAAAGACCCAATCATTTCTGCTTCAAACAAGAGACCTGTTTTTTTCATGCCTCAGACATGCTGTCTTGTATGAATGCAATTTCCCTTCAGTAATCTGTAAAATAACACAGGGCCAACGTTTAATACTTGGAGGACCCTGCAAAATTTGTATGAGAACCCCCAAATTCAAGTTAACTCTCTTCTATAGGAGACCTAGGCCCCCAAACCAGTTTGTCCAAGGTCACACAGCAGCTAGTTAGCAAAGCCAAGGCTCAGACCTGAGGTCAGGGGTGGACGGGAAGGCTATTCTACAAAGAAGGGCAGCACAGGTAAACCAGAGCCACGGAGGGCTGTGGGTGCCAGCGAGCATGGGCTCGACTCTTGTCCCCAATACTAACTGCTGTGTGGCCTTGGAGAGGTGATGTTCTCAAGCTCATTTTCATACAAGTCAAACGGGGATAACTGACGACTGCAGACGCGCTGCATGCTGCTGAGAGGATGGAGTGAGAGCACAGAAGAGCATTTTTCAAACAGCTGCTCTTGTACATAGACAAAGGGACACTCGGGCAATGATCCAACTCCAAGGTGCTACCTTCACAATGGCAATGTGAGACAATTTTTTTCCCCCAGAGGTGCTCTAGGCATCAAGTATGTGTTACTGCTTAAAAATATCACTTGAAACTGAATGTCCCTGAGAACTGAAGCCCCTACCGCCCATGGAGTAAGATGGGGATTTGAACTTTCTCAAGCGTCACACCACAAACTGCTGTTTCAGAGTACACGCCACTCCTCGTCTTTCACCCCATGGATTTGCCTGCTCTGTATCGTGCCCATGTAGAATGCTTGTTTTGGGTCTCCTTCCCCGTGTCATTTCCGTGTTTGTGAATGTGTGGTGTGTGTGCGCAAGTGTGTGTAGGTCAGAGGTTGGTACTGGATGTCAGTCTTCCATCACTTTCCACTTGGTTTATTTATTTATTAATGATTTCTGTCCCTCCCCCTCCCTCAATCAAGTCCCCCTCCCTCATCAGCCCAAAGAGCAATCAGGGTTCCCTGCCCTGTGGGAAGTGAAACAGTCCCGCTCATTGAACCTGGAGCTTACCATTTGCTTAGACTGGCTGCTCAGAAAGCCCCGGGCTCCTCCTGCCTCTGCAGCACTGGGATCACCGCTGTGCACTGCTGCCCCTGGCATTTTACATGAAGGTCCTCACGCGTGTACAGCAAGCACTTATCCACTGAGAGAGACATTTACCCAGCCCTGAGCACAGGTTCATTCATGCTGAGCACGCACCAGAACTTCACTTCTTGGGATCTGTGCTCTGAACATGCTCCCCAGGTAGTTCTGATGAGTGCGCTTTGAGGACAGGGAACAGCACTTTCCCACAAGGTGAAACTTGAGGTTAATGCAGAGCTCCAGGGTGTGTCTGTCTCACTGGAAACAGAGGCAAAGCTGTCTGCCTGCCTTCTCCAGAAACCGCGGGCTGTCGGGTCTCCTGGGCAAGCTCTGCAGGTACATGTGTTGTCTATGGACAGTAGCTGGCTGCTTTGGAAACTGGGCAGATTGGTTATTAGAGACTCACACAGGGGGATTAGTCCCAAATCAAAGACTTTAATGTACATTCTGCTCTTGGAAAAACATCTCCAAGGAAACAAGAGGAACCGAAAGTCTTAAACAGCAGGACTCTCATTCAGACCTGCTGGGAGCTTGAGCCTCCGAAGAGGATGTCACTGGGATCCCAGGGCACAGCAAATGGCCTGAGGTCAGGATGGAGGGCCTGGGAGCTCTTCCTGAGGCAGAACTCTGCCCACACAGCACGAGGGGTGTGCCCTCAAGACTCTCTAACACCAGAATGTGGCAGCACTGAGGACAGCCCCACCACAGGCCCGGGAAAGTTAACACCTAGCTATCTCCATGGCTCTGAAGTAAGGTCCCACCGATAATAGGGTCTAAGGGGCAAACTTGGGACAGAACCTTTCTTTTTGCTATTGAATTTCCACATTACCAGAAAAAGTCATGGTGGCCTTAGTGAAAAATGGGACTGTAGAAAGCTTCTATCTCCCACTTGAGAGTGAGAGGTCTCAGAATGGAGCCCCAAGACCAGGCGCCAATTCTGGGAGATCTAGGGCCTCTAGGCAGGAGGGGCCTTGGGAGAGGAAGCTGAAGGTGACCATTTGTTAGACTCAGGGCATCATCTTCCTGTTGCCCTTGCCCAGGCTGGCTCCAGAGAGCTCAGCGGCCCGTCTGTTGGTGGATCCCCTTCCAATCCACACGGTACAAACCACATTCAACTTCAAACCTAAATTTAACTTAAAAATTCACTAACACCTCAGCCACTGGGATGGACCAGGTTTCTTCTTTCTCCTGTTAACCAGCTGAATAAGCAGCTAGTCTTTTAGACTTAAGGTTCATTTTCTCATTGCTAGAAGGAATTAGACTGTTGCTGGGGCAGGTCTCACCTGAAACTTCTCCAAGGGCCTTTTTATGAAATTAAGCGCCAGGGCCAGGCTGAAGGGAACCACAGTGCTTCGCTTTGGCAGCAAAGGAATGTGTTTACTGGTGAAGAGGAATCCTGGTTCCATCTCTGCAGGACCTTACTGAACCACTAGGCTGGAGAAGCAGAGACACCAGGTAGGAGCCATGTGGGAAGGGGTCTCCCTGGTTGAAGATCTGCAGCTAGCCAGTCTCGATGCCCTCAGGGAGCTCCACCACCACTGGGGCACAGTCCTCTGGCTCTGAAGCAAAGTCCCACCGGAACTTCTTAGTCAGGTGGGCTTGGAACTTTTCTGCCTTCTTCCTCAGAGTGGCATCTACAGCAATGCTGCAGGCAGAAGAAAAGAAAACCTGCAGAGAACAGAGGTAAGTTACTCCTGAGAACAGGGGCCAAGAAAGCTGTGGAAATTCCCTCCTAGTGTTCAGCTCTCTGAGGTAGTACATCAGCTGCGGCTGGCACAGTCCCAAGACACCTGCTATGCACCCCCCAAAAACAAAGAAGGAAGACACTGGAACAGGACTGGAATGGAAAATTACCATGTTGGGCACAGATGCCCTGTGAAAGTAAGGCCATCAGAGTTACCACTGCTGCCCCACCCGGGCAGGGAGGGAGGTGTTAAGATCTTCAAGGCACCTGGGCAATAGCACAGAAGAAAAGACAGTTATACCAGGTGGTGTAAATAAGTTTGGGGAGACACATAAGCCCTTGAATCCCATAAAGTCCCAGGCCCTCAGCCAACAAGGCTGAATTGCTGCTCTCATCTTCTAAGTGGGCCACAGAATACCAGTTTGAGGCTTCTATTCCTCTTAAAAGCTGTCTTTAATGCTCATTTAAAAAAGCATTACCATTGTTGAAATTGTGGTAAAATAGATACAGCTACCGTCTAAACTCTTTTAAGTGATTAGCCAGTGGCACTAAGTGCATTCCCATAGTGCAACCATCACCAACTTTTTATATTCTCCAGCGGAAACTATCCATGAACACCAGTTCCCTAACATTCCCTTCCCCTGGCTTTTAGCAACACTCTTTCTGTTTTCCTCTTTCTACTTCCTGTCTCTAGGAATCTGACTAGGCTAGGAAGAAGTATATAGTATCTGTTCTGTGGCTGTCTTTGAGGCTCACCCATGTTTTAGCATTCTGCACTTCTGGTATTCTAACAGAACTTATTTAATGTACAGGAAAATGAAGACAACCACAAGCTCAAAGAAAATTTAATTTTGGATCTTTTGCACAGTTCCTGGCACCAAATACTATGTGATGGTGCTGTAGAAAAGGCCAGAGATGAGCTGCACACCAGGCCCCAGAATGCTGCTGGCTTGTGACTCTTGCAAGGTCCAGGCTAAAACGAGCTCCCCTGAACTCTGTTCCTTTAGCATTAGGCTGGCTTCCCTCATGGCATTTCTATATTGTCTTACATCACAGCAGTCCATGCTTAAAGAGTAGGGAATGAATCCTAATTACTAGTGTATTCAACACAGCATACCAGAGGCTGGCACGGAGTTAGGGCCCACAGGATGCTCACCAATCAGTAAGTACAACACAGAACTTGGCAATAGCCGGAAGTGAGAGGCTGGAACAAGCTGCACTTAGAGTCATCACCCACCTTCCCCACCTACCTTCTCAACATTCCTGAGAGTAAAATCAACTAGAAGTGGGCACAAGCAAAGCCTTCTCTCTCTCTCTCTCTCTCTCTCTCTCTCTCTGAAAGCTTCTAATTTGAAAAGAGTTTTGTCCTTTTAACTTGTTATTTAAATCTTTACTACGAGCCTAGCAGGCTGGAGGGCAGGAAACTGCTAATCCCGCTGTGCAGATGAAGATGCTGGGTCACTCACTACACTGTGCTCACCATGCTCCTACAAGCACGGTCAATCTTCTGATTTCTCCACTATAACCTTCACCTGTCTTGACAGGGTAAATAACATCCTTGAATCTGAACATTTGGTCCCGTCCTGTGGGGTGCTCTCTAGAACCTGGGCCACAGACCACAATGACTTTCATTTTAAAGACCAACTTTACTGAAGTACACTTTGCACACAATTAAATGTTCCCACTGCACTGTCTGGCCCACTGGGGTGAACACCCGGAACCATGCAGCCAGTGGATCATCACACATAGGTAGAGGGTTTTCTTTTGGGATTTAGTTCTCAGCCAGGAAGACTCTATGGATTTGCTGGGGCATCACCATATTTAGGCTTCAGAATGGGTTGGCCACCCTTAGAAACTCTCTGGTGTCGCCCTTAGACTTTTAACCCTCATCTTCCCTTTCCTCACCCCTGGCCCGACCACCTTTTATTTATTTTTCTTAATTTTCTTTATAGCTTTACAAACTGAATAATTAATTTGGTTTTTCTTGAGACACAGTTTCTTGAGATTTAGTTTAGAAAGGCCTTGAATTTATTAGGTTACCCAGTCTCAATTCTGCCTCAGCCTTGCTCCCAAGTGCTAGGAATATAGGTAAGTGTTACCATACTCTGCTTGATAGTTCAAAAACAATTCAGAAAAGATGTTCTTAAAGTATTGCGCCAGGACTAGGACAGTTCGGTGACACAGCGCTCGCCTAGCTTAGGTGAGACCTTGGGTTCAGTTTTCAGTGACCTCCTTCACGCCAGGGCCGGGGCTGCATTTATTCTAAAGATAAAAGAACCAGGATAAATTTTATGTTTTCTTTTTAAAAATTTAGTAATCATCTAGTTACTTTATTTCCTGAGGCAAAATCAAGTAAAGATTTCTAACACCATAGAAAAATTAAAATGACATCCTTTTCTGGCCTCCTTGGGCACTAGGCATCCAAGTGTTGCAGAAATATACATGCAGGTAAAACATCCATATACATATTTTTTTAAGAAGTTTATGATAGCCAGGCGGTTGCAGCACACACCTTTAATCCCAGCACTTGGGAGGTAGAGACAGGTGGATCTCTGTGAGTTCGAGGTCAGCCTGGTCTATAGAGCGAGTTTTAGGACAGGCTTCAAAAAGCTACAGAGAAACCCTGTCTCAAAAACCAAAAAAGTTTATGATAAAACATTATAGACATTATTAAGACTAGGGCTACAGCTCAGTTGGTAGAGTACACCCTTCACAAGTACAAAGTCCTAGGCTCCATCCCCAGGACCACATAACCTGCACATGGTGGCACATGCTACTAAACCTAGCACTTAGGAGGGAGAAGCAGGAAGACCAGAAGTTAAAGATCATGTACGTCTACATACGAAGTTTGAGGTGAGAATGAGATACATAAGGCGCCACCCATCTCAAAAATAAGACAAAAAAAACCCATATATATATAACTGTTAAAGATGACACCCAGAATAGTAATAAGGCACAATGCTTGCTTGGAATGCATCTACAGCTTTAAAACACAACAAGATCTCCAAACACGACAGGTTATGTGATATATGCCTAAATACTATGCAATCGGCAGTTAGAATTCTTATTTTGTGCATAACTCTTTCCCACACACTATTAATTCCAGATTATCTTTTCACTAACTTTAAACAAATTATGGTAAATTAAGTTACTTTAAATAAAGGGAAAAAAAACCTTTTGTAAAACAAATCATTTTTATTCAAGCTAAATCCAAGGGATTTGTAAAAGCCAGTGGCATTTATTCAAGTGTCTCACTTGGGAAATTTGGAAGAAAAAAAAAATCAATGGCTGAAGTCATAAATGACTGATTCAATGCACGCTAATATGGCTGCCTTTAATGTCTTTCAAGTGCACACACATACACACCAGTTTCTCTCCATGTACAGCAGACATTTATGATTCTAAGCAGGGAATCCAGCTCCACTCAACTAGTGGCAGAGAGAGCAGGGAGCAAGCTGAGGAAGCTTTTTTTTTTTTTTTTTTTTTTTTTTTTTCGAGACAGGGTTTCTCTGTGGTTTTGGAGCCTGTCCTGGAACTAGCTCTTGTAGACCAGGCTGGTCTCGAATTCACAGAGATCCGCCTGCCTCTGCCTCCCGAGTGCTGGGATTAAAGGCGTGTGCCACCACCGTCCAGCTTGAGGAAGCTTTTAAGGTCTGATTCATCCAGTCACAAAAACCCCAAGTGAGTGCCTCTGCGTGAGGAATCGGACTCTCACTGCCAAGACATTGAAAAAAAGGTTTTATAATATCCTGGTCCACACTGTGCCTTTAGAAATATCAATGTTCCTCACATAAAGCTATTCTAGAACCCCTCAGGCCCCTCAAATTTTAACCCCAGTCAGAATCCACCATTCCCTCTTAGATGTACTCTTAGATGCCCTTTGCTAGACTTTATTGTTTATACATATACTTACACTGCCAAAGGAATTATAAATGCCTTACATGTAAAAAAACAGGCAGTAGCACAGGTCAAATGCTAGGTGTTGACAATATCAATGAGGGGGGGGAATGCAGGCTTCTGGCTCCGTGAGGACCTGCTGTATTCACTTCAGAAGCATAAGCCTTGCAGGATGCTAGTGGCAAGTCCAGAGCAGGCTAAGACTACTAGGAGGAGGCAGAGACAAGGGAGGGCCTCACAGAGAGGGAGTGTAGGGAGGACATGACAGACAGGAGAATCAGCTTCAGTCCAGAAGGCTTGAAATATGGATGCAAAGTTTCTGTTATATGAGGCTCCAGAGAACATTCTGAAAAACATGCTTACAGTTAATACTGCTCTGAACATTTTTAAATGTGCTGAGAGGAAATCAAACTAAAATGATGTGCTTTTTACAACTAAAACACAGGAAGTGAAGACAGTGTTCATGTGGGTAGTTCTAGTTGTTTGGGCTGCTAGAATCACTTGTGCCCAGGAGTTCAAAGTTAGCCTCAGAAACAAAGCAAGATCCCATCTCAATGGGGGGGGGGGGGGGGGGGGGGGAGGAATGAAACAGCATGGCCTGTCTGGGAGCTTGCTGTGTACAGACCACCGACACTATCATGACAGGAGAGAACAGGCTAAGAGCCAAGGAACACTGAGCCTTGGGCTCAAGGCTGGCACATTTAAATTTCCTAGGCAAAAGGGAGAGCCACAGAGAATCAGGATCAGAGCTGCATTTTGGAGCAACAGAGGCAGCAGGGTGGGAAGCAGATGGTTTAACAAAATAACCAGGAAGGTTAATAAACTCTGATGTAGTCTAGTGGAGACCAAAAAGGCCCAGCTAGGACAAAGAACAAGGGCAGGTATGGCTTCTGTAACACTACTATTTGTAACTCTTCAGTTCACTCATGGGTTTATTTCCTGCTGACGGACTCTGATACTCTTGTTCAGTGACATTCTCACTTCTAGAACAAATCTCATATGCAGCAGGGGCTCAGTCAGTGAATCCTAATCAATGAACCCTTGAGGACAGGAGCCCCAGCTAAGTCTTATTTGTATTCTTCAACAACAGAAGTGGAATGATGCGTGAAAAGGTGCTCAAAAACATTTAGTATGTACTATTTTAAAGGCATATGTCCTGAACATTTCCAAATAATGACACCAACTGGTATAGCTCAGGAAGCAGAGTATGAGGCCACGTAAATTGGGTATGTTTGACACACACCTGTAATTCCAGGAGTTGGGAGGTGGATAACAGAGAATCTGAAATTCAAGGTCATACTTGGCTACAATGGGAGTTTGAAGCCAGTTGGAGCTAGAGAGCTTGTCTAAAAACAAACCCCAAAACAAACCAAATGATATCAAATGTCTTGTCCAGAGAAAATTTCAAACCATCAGCACTGCACAACCCACACGAGCATCCAGCAGTCCAGCTGGGTCCTTGGTATTTTGAGATCACTGTTACAACTCAAGCCAGCAACACCACGGCTTTCCTGTTCTTGTGTGACAGCATCCACTCACACCGTAAGGGCAATATGTCATTCCCTAGACTGCATCGTTCCCCATGGCTGCCGCCATCAATGCAGGCCAGTTAGCAGCTGCCTGGTAGCTCAGTGACTTTGTGAGGAGGGTCCCCATAGAGGGGGATAGAGATTCTATAAAGAACAGAAAAGGGCACTTTAATTCTTCTCAAGTAGAACATGCCAAGCTCAGGCCATCATTTGACAGACACATCACCACAGTCTGAACAAGCCCTCCAAATGCCAGCATTTCCAGGCAACTGCCTGCTGCCTAATTACAGAGACTGCAATAGCATGGCAATTTTGGGAAAGCGTTCTCTGCCTTTGAGAAACAACATCCACAGGATGTTTTTTGGTGGGGTTGGGGTGGGGGAGATCTACGCTGTATTTAGTACCTTGGGACAAGAGCACAAGTGCCAAACCAATTCCAAGCATCCTATACAAATCCTGACTTCTACTTTCTAGTGTAAATCAATAATTTAACCTTTCTAATTTTTTTTTTCATTTGAAAAATGAAAATAATCTGGTCTGTCCAACAGGGTTCCAGGGAGCCGACATGTGATGGTTCATCTCAACCGCCAATCTGATAAGAGAGATCAAGAATCACCTAAGAGAAGGGCATGCCTGTATACAGACTTGGTTGACTAGATCCACCCACTTGTCCCTAAGCTGGATTCTAGCATATGTAAAGAGAAGCAAGTGGGTTCAACACAGGAGTTGACCACTCTCTGCATGTGATGTGACTCAAACTCCTGCTGCTGTCACTACCCCTTTATGGAATGGGATTCCATAAAGTCACTTCTGTCAGGGTGTCATAGCAACAGAAAAAGTAACTTAGACATCATATAACATAGTAAATATGGTGTTTGCTACCCAACAGACATTAACAAATACTAGTTTCTTCTGTGGGTGGGGATGAGAGATAAGTGAGGAACATATTGCACAGAACAGGCCTCATGGGGCATCACACAGAGAGAAGACGCTGGTGGTACAGAAGCTATGGAAACAGACAACTAGCTGCTTTTCTGCTATACTTTAGAAAGTTACAAAATGTGAGTGACGGAGGCTGTCCCAAGTACAGAAAGGAAACTAATCTGTTTGACAAGGGAGGAAATAGCACAGGATGAAGATTCTAAGTTGTTTGAAGCTCCTTTCCTAATTACCACTCATAATGAAAATTTAATTGCCAAGTTAAAAGCAAATTTCACTTTTTCTGTCAGAGAATCTCTGCAGAAACTGGCACATTTTGTTTGAACAGGAAATCAAAGTTACTTTAATGCTTAAATGAGATCTAAGGAGCTGCAGATGTTTCTTTGGGAATAACGAGCTCCAAAACTGCCTCACTAGGCTGCAGCAGCTCAGAGCTTCAGCGAGCCCTGGAAACTGTTCGAGCTGGTGCTCTCGCTTAGCTGGGGTTTATTTATCCCCCATGGTTTGTGCCTTGGAAGCCCCATGTGTTTGGTGATGCCAAGAGGCAGGGCCTGGTGAGAGGCTCTTAGCTCACCATGACAATGTTCTTGGGAAGGATTAATGTGGCAACAATGAGTTCTTAAAAGAAGTTGTCACCAGTAGGGCCACAGGTTTTGAGCTCTGAGCCTACAAAATCATGAGCTAAATAAGCCTCTGCTGGGGCTGCAAGATGGCTCATTGAATAAGAGCCCTTGCTGCATAGGCATGATGACCCGAGTTCAAACCTCAGAGCCCACACAACTCCCACAAGCTAAGCTCTGACCTCCACAGCATCCTATGGCACACAACTAAATTTAAGAAATAAAAAATAAGTTAATAAATAAATCCCTTTATTTCAAAGTAGGACGTGTCAGTTATTTTCTTACAGTAATAAAAAAAAAAAACTGGTAATACAGCTAGGCAGTCCAAAGTGGTGGAAAGGATTCAAATTCTAAGTACCCAGGATGAGGCCAGAGAAAGCATCTGTGGCACAGAGGTGCTTACAACACAGTAGAAGATAGAGAACCAGGAAACACCTCAAGGTTAAGAAGTAAACTCAAGAAATATTAGAGTCATGGAAAAGCAGCAAGAAAGAAGGTGACGCTCATGAGGTGCTCTCACATGGGTGCCTTCCTGTGACCCACACGTGTGTCACCCACAGTTTGCTCACCTGTAAGGTACTGGTGAGGAAGTTGTCCTGGGAGACAATGTCCACAAAGAAGTCGGCAGGGATCTCACCAAGCTGGTGGTACAGGATGGAGATGAGGCTGATGTACAGGGTGTGGTGCTTCACCATGGCGGCTTCTGACCGACACAGGAGGTTCAGGAGCCGCTTCCAGTGCTCGAATGCCTCATATACGTTGCCCAGCAGGAAGCACACAAAGGCAAACTGCAGCTCACCTAGGAGGTACAGAGAGAACAGTGAGATCCCCACAGCAAGGCAACCAGCTGGCACTTCCCTACATGACTTACAACGCCATCGTTCACACTAGACCTTAGCAACACGGAGCCTTGTACCCGTCACTCCAGCAGAACTGACGGTGGGATTCTGCACCCAACAAGCATTCAGAAAATACTTGCTCAACTGCTAAAAATTCAAACCATGGGACACCAAACTGTGGTTAGGTCTTTACACAAAAGCAGGTCCTAAGAACATGCCTCACATTTCAGGAGGTGGACACTAAACCTACCATCAGGATTATTAGTAGATTTCATTAAAACAAACCTGCCCAGAGCTGGAGAGGTGGCTCAGGAGTTAAGAGTATTTGCTGCTCTTCCAGAAGACCCAAGTTCAGTTCCTAGTACCTGCTACAGCCATCTTACATCTACCTGATTCCAGCTACAGGGGATTTGAAATCCTTGTCTGGTCTCTGTGTACTCATACACATATCCACCACACACACAAACACACCACCACAGACACACACAGACACATAAACACACACAGGCATAAGTAAAAATAATATAATAAATTCTAAAACTTACAAAAAAGTAAGTAAAGCTGCCCAGTTGGTCAACTCAGAGATTTTGGTTAAGCAGAGAAATGAACTCCAGAATTTGTGAAAACAAGATTAGTGCAAAGTATTTTACAACCAATTTTTAACATTTCCATGTCACTGAAAAGGTCCCCTTAGTGGCTGGTATTCCAAGCTTCCCAGGTGGCGTGACCCACTCTCGGGCTGGTGAAAAGCTGCATTACATACCACAGCCCAGCTCCTCTAGGTCATCAGGGAAGGCAGTATTTCCCTCATTTTAAGATGAGGTCAAGGGCATGCCCAAGACTGTATAACTACTGTTTTGAATGATGGAAAGCTGTAATAGATTTGACGCTGGGTAGAAACACTTCTAGAATCTCCCACGGCAGGAAATTCCTAAATTCTTATTCCAGGGCTAGCTTACCTGTCAGCTTATTTTGTTTATTCAATCACGGGGCTCTGATTTCATCTCTGAGCAGCCTAGTGGCTAAGAGCATGGGCTTCAGAGCCAAACTGCCTAGATTCAAATCCCAGCTCTACTACTTAGCAGAAGTGTGACCTAAGGCAAGTTTTGTAATCTATTTATGCCTAATTTCCTTACTTGATAGTTATAATGAAGAGTAAATTACTTACTACAGGGTCTAGTAAACACTTAGAATAATACAGGACACAAAGCAACACTCAAAATGCCAGTTCCTATTTGGATCTCCAATTGATACCTGTCTCCAACAAAGACCTGACAATCCAGAAGCCATGGAAATACTCAACATATCACAAAACACTACTCTACAATCTTGTTTCTATAAAGGCCACACATACTCTTAGAATATAACTGAAGTTTCAAAGACTGAAATATAAAACAAGTGAAATGTATAGAAATACACAGTGAAGAGAGAAAAGAAAAAAATGTACTGAACTGTGAAAATGCTTATTTCTAGATTTAAGACTTGGAGTAAATTTTATTTTTGTTTCTGCTCTGTGATAAATACATTAAATCAAGAGAGAGCAAGCAGCAAACTGTAACAATTAAAATAAAAATAAAAGCCCTGGTCTAAGTCAGGGAAGGAACCAACATTTTAAGAGCTCAAGCAAAGTGAGGTGTCAGATAGGGGCTTATAGGAAAATAGACAGAATTGGTCTAGCAACCAAGAGCCTTGGGCAATGTGGTCTCAATGTGACCACTATCCACCAATTTTTTTTCTCTCTACAGAGTGAAGCTATGCCACTGATTAACAAACATAGGATTATGCTCACAGGTTCAATTAAGATGCTCAAATAATTAGATGAATACCAGACAGCCAAACTGCTGGAGCCCGTTTAGATCTCTTGACTTAAAATCTTTAGACTAAGAGCGGAGATATATATGTATGATGATGACTAGGGAATCTACCTCCTAGCTTCCTTTAAGAACTCTGAACTAGATAATCCAATATGAGCCCTCTATTCTAAAAAACCCTCACTAGCATCCTCCCCCCAAAAGCCTAATTCCTTCTTACCAAGTACATCCTGGGGGTTGCAAGGAAACTGCTTGCTGAGCACAGTCTCGAGGGCATAGCTCAAGTCCATGCTGTGCCTGGTGATCTCTGCTGGTGTGGCACCTGCCGGGAACATCTGAGTGGGCAGCTCCGAGAAGCGGATCTCTGTCCCAGCCCTGGGTTTCATCTCAGGTAGCCGGGCTAAGCCCTCCTGGTAGCTTCTGCACTCAGTACCGCAGCGGGGCAGGTTCTGCTCCACCCTGTCCTTGGTGTGCTTCATGGAAAGCACAGGCAGCACGTCCGAGAAGGCACAGATCTGCCGGCTCTCCGGCTGCAGCTTCTCCACGGTGGCCTCACTGATGAAGTTGGTGAGTGAGATCCATTTCTTGAGTGTCGCATACGGGTAGGGGCCCAGAAACTGGTCTAACTCGGGGAGATTGGCTCTCATAGCTTCTACTTCAGCCTCTGGAGCTGGAGACAAGTCTACCTCTTCCTGGACTGTATTCCAGCGAAGGACTGTCAGCCCCCGCTGCTTGAGGCTAAGAAAGAAGCCCATCCGAGGGCCCACCTCCCTGGGATTGGCCTTGTCCACAGAGCTGTAGTGAAGAAAGTGGATGCCAGGAGGGATCATCTTCACACCCCGGAACTTGGGGCCCACCTCCCAGGAATTGTAGTCAATGCCAAACTCTGTCCCCTTGGGCATGTTCAGAATGATCACAGTGGCTCCTTCAAAGAAGAGTTGCTTGGCTAACTCAGGATCCATCTGCATAGAAGCCATGAGGCCAGTGGTGGGTGGCCAAAAGCAGGATTCTTTCTTGCCTTCTAGAAGAGCAGAGAGAAAAAAAACAAAAAAAAAAAAAACAAAAAAAAACAGAATGAGTTGACCAGAACATGGAAAGGCTACTTCATTTCTCACACATTATGTCATACTGAACTCGATCCTGACAGAAGAAACTCCCGTCATCCTCATGGGAATCCTGCATCTGTCTAAGGAAATCAGGATCAAAGAGATTTGGGGGCTCTGACTTAACAAGCAAGGGGGTCTTCACTCCACCACTACAGAGGCACCAACCACTTAGAGAGGTGATGTACCCAAGGTCACACAGAACCAAAGTCAAAGCCTGGCTGCTGGCACCGCAGGCCTGTGTTCACTGCACACGCAAGAACCTGCATCCAAGGCTTTCTCAGAACAGAGGGTAAGGATGGAGAAACAAAAGGACGCATGACCTATTTTAAACTAGAACTATGCTAAAATCATTTTAAACTACATTCTACCTAAAACCTGCTACCAGAGAGTACCATAAGCTCTGTCGAAAATGACCAAATCAAATCTGCTACCTAATTTCCCGTGAGCACATAAAATTAATAAAAGGGTTTTAGGAGTGGAGAGCTTTTCAAACTCATCAAAAACCTAGTTGAAAGTGAGGGAAAGTAAAGGGTCTAGTCCCTTGGTTTAAAACTAACCTAGCAAAGTAGAGTGGACCGGAACACACCTGTATTCCCAAAATACAACACACATTTAAATAAAGTCCGGAGGCCGGTGGGTGACTTACCGGAAACAACGCAGAGGTGGGCGGAACCAGATCGAGTGAGGATAAGGTCTCTGGTCTCCAAGCTCTACAGCTAAAAGGGGAGAAAAAGTTACGTCGTGGGCCCCAGGAAGCCTGACCACGATGTCCCCGGTGAGGTTCTCAGAGAGAGAGAGAGAGGCCTCCTGAGACACCAGCCCACAAACCCACAAACTCGGCTGGCTCGGAGACAGGGGCCTAATTAAATGCACTCCGCGATTCTAAGCGGAGAAGCGAGGTGACCTGGCCACACACAACGAAACCCGAGGACGAAAGAAGTACCAGGACCCAACACTCACCACAAAGCCTCACGCTCGGCCTCCACAGAAACGGGACGGAAGTTCGGCGGCTTTGGCACGGGAGAGGTGTTACGGAAAAAGTGGTCCGGCGGAGCCCCAGGATGCAGAAGAATTGGCCCGTGCTTGCGGGTTCCTCCCGATAAAGCCCTGGTTTTCTTCTTAGTGTTTCATTTTACCACCTGAATTGTGGATAACAATTTTAATTAAACTATGCATTTCTCCTTCCAGAAACATACTCACCAGTCACAGTCCTTTGGTCTCAAGCAGACACGGGCACCAAATCATGGTCCGGGTGGTAGCACCCAGTAGCCACAGTTAGACAGGATCAGTCATGGCCGGCCCTCTTTAGCCACATCAGTATGCCAGTCACAGCGTCAAAGATGCCCTGTTACCACACGGTCCCAGATTCTAGACACATTCGTCTCTAGGTACAGTTTCAGAAACAAAGGCTGTTGCCTGAAGGGAGAACCAGTAGCTTCAACAGCCAGCACAGCAATCTGCCTGGCACAGCAATCTTGCCTGTGTCTTGTAGGTCTAAGACCTACACAGGCAAGCTATAAATGTGCACTGAGTAAGGAAACCTGCCTGTCTTTTTCTTCACCATTTCTTTAGAACCTAGTCCATAGCTAGTTGTCTTAGATACATTGTGTGTTAATTACCGACTACTAATAATGTGGTACAGTAAATGACCATTTGTGGGTCTGACCTTGTGATAGGTCCCAGAGTCATTAGGAGATATATGTCATGTATTGCATATATCTTATGTGATGGAGACTAGCTAAACAGCACCAAAATTCACAGGGTACTCCACTTGGATACTGTTTCTAACCTTTACATAACCGTAGCCAGTGTGCGACCCTTCCTAATCTTGTATTGCTGGCTTTAGCTGCCTGATTTTCTACCCTGTTGTGATCTTGTTTATCTTTGAAGACAGGATTTCTAAAGACCTCCAATCTCTTCTTCAGGTTAGTTTACCAAAATCGGTTGAAATTTAAGATGGCAGAGAGAGAGAGAGAGAGAGAGAGAGAGAGAGAGAGAGAGAGAGAGCAAAAGACAAATCGCCTCCAACTTCATTGTCACCCGTCTGCCTTTTGAGTGCCATACTCGGGAGCTATGACAGTCGTCAACTAAAAGGAACCACAAAAGCATGCCCAAATTCCTGGAAAGCCCCTGCCATTCCCGGAAAGATTAGGAGTCCCCCGACCCCTTTACTGGCCTCATTTCTTTTGCACTATACCTGCATCTCTTCCGCCCCAGATAGGTCAAGAGGTTGATCTATTTCCTATTACTGTTCCTAACCAAGAACGAGTCTCCCTTGCTGCTCAATGTGTCTTCTTGCTGGTGCTACAATTCTAAGAGGGAAGAATGACACAGGATGGGGATGGGTGATTAGCATTTTCAATCAATAAAAGAAAGCTGAGGTTCAAAGAGGGGCCTAGACCCGGAGAGTGCGGGACCAGGGTGTAAAACATGATTTAGCTGGAGTCCTGGTCCCTGTGCTGCTGCTCCTTGTCTGCCATACTTCCCCAGTGACAGCTGAATCCATCAATATGTCCCCCTCACAATTTCACAATTCATCTCTTAGGAGATTGAATCACCTCAGACCAGGCTAGATGGGGCAATCATAGCTAATCACATTGAGCTGCCACAAGGTTGCCCAGAGGCGATGTTCACCATCAGGCACATCAATCTCAACCCTCCCTGTCAGTCCCATTTTCCTTGGGAAGCAGCTCAGCTTCGTCCTCTTCCCTCCTCTTCCCTCCTCTTCCCTCCTCTTCCCTCCTCTCCCCTCTCCACTGACATCTTCAGAGCTGAGCTCTGTAATATTGTCTCTGGGCTTCCTGTTTCAGAGGGCTTCAGCATCTTTTCAGAGACTCGGGGCATTTAACAACAAAAGTTGTGTGATATGAAGATGGTGGCCTGGGAATCCAACTTTGTGAACTATGTTCATCCAAATCACAATTTCTCAACTTTGGCACCATGGGCATTTGGGGCCAGGTAATTCTTAGTTGAAGATAGCTGTTCTGTGCTTTGGGAGAAGTTAGGCAGCAAACCCAGACTCCAATTCATAGAACACTAGACAACTGTGACCAAAAAAAAATGTGTCTAGAAACTGCTTCATTACCCTCTTCAACCCAAGCTGAGAAAAACAAGGATTTAAACTATCCCAGTTTTTCCCTGGAAACAGAGAAACTAGTTTGACAGGTCCAGGAGGCACAGAGTCCTAATGTTTGTAAAGTAAGTCCTATTCCAGGATTCTAAAAGTAATCGCTTATTAAAAGAAACCTACAAGGAAAGGTTTGGAAAACATTTACTGGGCTCCTTGTGGTCGTTGCCTCTCACAGCAAACAGGACTCTGGAGAAGAGCGGGTTCTTGCCACTGTGTGGCCCTTGTGTCATTTAGTGAACTGGCTTTACAGAGAAAAGCAGTAATCGTCTCTGGAATGATAGGATGTTCAGAATGTAGGTTTTAAAAAGTATTTAGGATGGTATGTACAGATATCTCCAACTCAAAAAAGACTTGTTTTGGCTGGGCAGTGTTGGGGCACACCTTTAATCCCAGCACTCAGGAGGCAGAGGCAGGTGGATCTCTGAGATTGAGGCCAGCCTGGTCTACAGAGTGAGTTCCAGGACAGCCAGCACTACACAAAGAAACCCTGTCTTGAAAAACAAAACAAAACAGACTTGTTTTGTGAGGTTTGAAGAGATATAGAAAGGTGACTGGGTGCTTTTCTTGACAGGATAAAACAGAAAATGTAGAATGTGTACCCTAAGTGACCCAAGGGAACTTAGCTTTTACATAATTATGATTTTAATTTTAATCGTTATTCATTGCTTTCTTTCAGTGGTAGGCTGTGTGCATCCCAGGCTAGTGCTATGCCACTCCGCCCCACCCCCAGCATACTCCCTATACGCCCCAGCCCTTCCCACGTATTTCTGTGGCCATGCTTTTCTTTGGCAAGTGGCACTAGTTATTTACCTTTGAAACTTTTAAAATTATTAATTTTTGCAGTACTGTCGGGTTGAACCTAAAGGCAAGCTACATCACTAGCTCCATTTTTGTTTTTATTTTTTAACATTTTATGGTGTGTGTGTGTGTGTGTCCGTCTGTCTGTCTGGGGAAGCACGTGTGCCACGATGTGCATGTAAAGATCAGAGAACTCACAGGACTCAGACCTCTCTTTCTACCATGAGGGGCTGGGGATTCGAACTCAGGTCGTCAGGCTAGATGGCAAGTGCTTTAGCTAAGTCTTTCCCTGCTGAGCCACCTCACCAGTCCCCTGATTTCCTTCCTTAAATGTTTCCCAAGTGAGTTAAAGGAAAGTCAAGTCAATGATGGGTGGCATGGAGACGTGGCACGTGGCAGGATTGTGGGCACGTTGTTTGCCAGGCTCCCATAGAGGGGGTTGATTTTCTATCGGATGGATTATGCTATGCCTCCCCGCTCTAGGTCCTGGGGCCCACATACTCACTGTACCCTCTGCATAGAAAGTTCTTATTCAAGGTTTTCGCCTGACTGGGTCTTTCTCTTCATTAAGCTCAAAAATGAATTCCTTAGGGAGGTCCTTAATTGGCTAACCAGTTTCCCCCTTTGTGGTGTTGGGGATCACACACAGAGCCTCACACATGCTAAACACACACTGAGCTACACTCTCAACTTTGGCCTTGTTAAAGTGACCTCCACTTCTTCCTCCACGTTTCCTTCTTAGAGCTGATCTCTCTAACCTGTCTTTCCTGTCTCACTGTTTCCTCCACTGGACAGAAAACCCTTGACCAGTAAGGACTTTGCCCTGTGTGCCATTGAGCCCACAGAGCCTAAGCCAAGGCCTGGGCCACAGTAGGAACTCCAGACTTTGTTGATTAAAATTGTTCTACATTAGAGCCTGGCTGGATACATGACTTTAGTAGTCTCGGCACTAGGACGGTAGAGGTAGGAGAATCTCTGAGTTCCAGGCGAGGGCTACATGGTGAGATGCTGTCTCAGGAACAAAACAAATCCTGTCTCAAAAGCAGAACAAAAAATGTGTTCTACATTGGGATGTGTCCACTCCTGTTCTATATCGACTTGTACCAGCACCCGAGGTCAGAGAGGAGAGAGAAAGGAGGGAGATAAGGGAGGCTGAGGGAGTCCATAGTTCGCCATCAAACACATTTATTTCACTTTTATTGAGTATACAAGAACAGAGAGCACACGCATACAGCACGGAGCACTGAGGTGGGGAGCGTGGGGACAGAGAGGAGAGGGGACTGAGTAAAAAGGAACACGACAGCATTGCAGTTGGTTGGTTAAGGTGCTTTTGGAAAAAAAAAAATATATATATATATATTTAGAGTGATGTTGCTCATGCAATCTCAGGCCAGTCTTGGTATGTGCTTGCAGGATTCAAAAACTGAAACAGGTCCTGGCACTTCCTGTACCTTCACATGGAAAAGATCCACAAAAAGCAAAAGTCGGGAAAATAAAGGCGTGTGAGACACAGAGTGGGAAAAAGGCTCAGGGCGCAACTGGTTTATCCTGCTCGTTTAGTTAGGCGCAACTAGTTCACCCTGCTCCTTTAGTTAGGTGGGATGAAGTAGCCCGGTGTCACATGGTGAGTTAGGAGCTGCATCTAGACGGTCACCCAGAACTCTGACTGCTCTCTGAGAATTTCCCCCATTCTGTTACCTGGCCTACTGGACAGAGATGAGACACACACACACCAAAAAAAGGCAAAAAGAAAAAAATAGGTTGAAGACAGACAAGACAATGTCCTTATTCTCTATGGAGTGGAGGACGGGAGGAAACAGTTCCCTAGATTTGAGTTTTGCAGGTCCCCTCCTCCCTGGGCAGGGTGCTGACTGCCTCTCTGGGGGAGAAGGTCAGAACACCCATGGAGCAAGTATCTCCCTAAATTCTAACACCCCACAAGCTAAGCAGGTCATTTTCTCCTCGCCCTGTAGCCCACGTTCAGGGCAGGTGCAACCCTCTGAACAAAGGTCCTCCCTCTGAGGTATGTACATCCAGTGTGTGCAGGCCATGGAGTTCCTGCAGAGGCAGGGGAGGCCTGAGCCCAGTTCCAAGGGGATAGACCCATTCCTGCTCTTGGCTCAGAAGCAGCAGGAGCTTACAGGTTCTAAAGGGCAGGCAGGAGGTTCTGTGGCTT